TGAGGATGTAGCTCAGTGTTAGAGTGCTCCAAATTATTTCAAAGGTAGAGTTAGGGAAACCAATGTGGTTTGAACAGGTTTAAGGAGGTTGCTGAGGGCTTTGAGCTGGGCTACATGACTTTTTTTTTTTTGTACAAGGAATCGAACTCAGGGGTGCTTAACCACTGAGCCACATTCCCAGCCCTTTTTTAATTTTTGAGACAGCATCTCATTAAGTTGCTTAGGGCTTCAATGAATTATGGAGCCTGGCCTCAAACTTGTGATCTTCCTGCTTCAGCCTAGGGAGTTGCTGAAATTACAGGTGTGTGCTACCCTGCCCAGCTTAAACTCTCGAATCTTACTCTGAGTAGAATGGGAAGCCATTGACACAACATGATCTCACTTGTGTTTAAGAGGATCTTTCCAGGTCTGGGAGTGTAGCTCAGTGGTAGATGCTTGCCTGGCATGCAGTGAAGCCCTGGGTTCCATCTCCAGCACCACACTCCGCAAATAAAAATAAATAAACAAACAGAGGGATCTTTCTGGCAGCTTTGTACAAAATGGATCAGCCCTTTCTGTAAGGGGCCATATTTTTTTGGGGGGGGGTACTGGGGATAGAACCCAGGGGCACTGTCCCCCCATCTATATCCCCAACATCCACCCCCAACTTTAATTTTGAGATAGGGTCTTACCAAGTTGCCTAGGTTGACCTTGGATTTTCAGTCTCCTTACCTCAGCCCCCTGAGTTGTTGGGATTACAGCTATGCACCACCCTACCTAGCTCAGTAATATTTTAGTTTTGCAAACTGTGTGGTCTCTGTTGAGATTATCCAGCTCTGCTGTTATGGAGGCAAAGCAGCCAAGAACAATATAGAAATGAAGGAGTGTGGCCGAGTTCCAATGGCACTTTACCTATAAAACAGGCAGTGGACTAGATTCAGCCCTGTGTGTGCCTACCCCAGGAGAATAACTGTAGGGGAAGGAAGGTAGACCAGTGGGGAGGTCCCATAATAAAATAAAGGAGGAAGTGCAGTCACCCGTACCAGGGTATAGCTGGAAGGTGGCGAGACAGGACTGGGTCAGGTATATTATAATGGTAGAGCCAATAGGGTTTGTTTGCAGGTAAGATAGGGAATGAGAGACAAAGACATTTTGTATGATTAATTGGAAGAACAGCTATTTGGGAGAAGATGGGCAGGGGATTACAGATAAAAATCAAGAATTTGGGCTTACACATGTTAGGTTTGGGAGATCTATTAGATTTCTATTAAATATATAGGTATATACATATGTACATTGGTGTAAGTACATATATATTATATATTATATATATATTTGGTACTGGGGAATTGAATCATCTAAGGGCACTTTACCACTAAGCTACATCCCTAGCTCTTTATTTTTACTTTTGAGATAGGGTCTCATTAAATTGCCAAGGGTGTTCTTGAACTTGTGATCATCCTACCCCAGCCTCCCAAATAGCTGGGATCAC